GTCCTCACAGAGTAATAAACCCAGGGATGTTAGCAAATGATGGGAAATTTTGCTGTGTTGAAAGAAACGGCTCCGAGTACTAAAATATTTACAATATAATTAAGTGTTCAGTCCGGCAAAATGATTTCCCACATTTTTTTTTACTAAATGGAATTGTATACTATACCCAGAGCCGGGTTAAGACAATTTGTTGCCTAGGCTAATAATAAAATGGCGCCTATAATAATTATTATAGGCCATGTTAGTACCTATGGTTTTAATATAACACAATACATTTTTGCCGACAGGGGCGCACAGATAAGGGGAGCAAGTAAGGCACGAATTATTAACAATTATTACTTACAAATGTTAAAAATCAACTGGCTAAAAGCCAGTGGTTGTAGTTTTTTTATTTTAAAATTATTGATCATGCATTGCCAATTTTTTTAGCGGGGTCGCAGTGCATTGTCGGCACGCGCTGCGGTATATGCGACATCCATCAAAGAATAAAAAAATATTCATATTTCCAATTTTGTTATTAAAATAAAAAAGGGTACTCTCTAAAAATGAATTAGTCAAAAATGACTTATTTAATAGGTATTTTTTCACTGGTACCATGGTTAACCATGGAATACCATGCTATCACAAAATTTAACAGCCAATTCTTATGTAAAATTGTCCCCTGAATCCGAAAATACCGTCAAAAATTATAAAAGCAGTTTTTGAGATATAGTCAATTACATATTAAATGGAAAATTGAATATATCTCAAAAACTGTTCTACCTTTTTAACTTTTGACGACATTTTCGGATTCAGAGGACAATTTTAAATAAGAATTGGCTGTTAAGTTTTGGGATATCATGGAATCCCATAGTTAACCATGGTACAAGTGAAAAAGCAGCCACTAATAACTATTAAATTAATCATTTTTGACTAATTCATTTTTAGAGAGTACCCTTTTTTATTTTAATAACAAAATCGGAAATATGAATAATTTTTTTATTCTTTGATGGATGTCGCCTATACCGCAGCACGTGCTGACAATGCACTGCGACCCCGCTAAAAAATTTTTGCATGCATGATAAATAATCTAGGATTTTAAAATAAAAAACTACAACCACTGGCTTTTAGCCAGTTGATTTTTAACATTTGTAAGTACCCTGCTGAAAATGACGGATGGTTGCGGATAAAAATTCTTCGTCAAAACCGGAGAAAAGCAGATGATTGCGGGTATTAATTCTTCGTCGAAGCCGGATAAAAGCAGATAAAGAAGGGTAAAAATATCATCTGATAACATCTGCTTTTGTCCAAATCGCTATATCCGCTAACACCCCGGTTGGTTGTGTTTTATGTCCCGTTAGTGTACCCTCCCAATCATCTGAAATCATCTGTTTTTAACCGTTTTCACTGTGTTTCGTTTATATCTGAATTTGTCCGGAATCATCCGCAAACGTCTGCTTACGTCTGGTTTTATCTGCGATTACCTGCATTTTTTTTGTCTATTTTTGTCTGGTTTTATCTGCCAACGTCTGGTTTTATCCGCGAGCATATGCTTTTACCCGCAAACGTCTGCCTAGTCCAATTTCACCCGCCAACATATGCTTTTATCCGCCAACATCTGCTTTTATCCGCGACCATCTGCTTTCATCCGCGAACATCTGCAATCACCCGCGAACAACTGCTTTTATCCGCGAACATCTGCAATCACCCGCGAACATCTGCTTTTACCCACGAACGCCTGCTTTCATACCCGCAAACATGCTTTAATCTGCGAACGCCTGATTTCATCCGGTTAGTCCACTCCCGCAAACATTTGCTTTTATCCGCAAACATCTCATTTTATCCGCGAACATCTGCAATCACCCGCGAACATCTGCTTTTATCCGCGAACATCTCATTTTATCCGCGAACATCTGCAATTATCCGCGAACATCTGCTTTTATCCGCGAACATCTGCTTTTATCTGCAGAAATCTCATTTTATCCGCGAACATCTGCTTTTATCTGCAAACATCTGCTTTCATCCGCAAACATTTGCTTTTATCCGCAAACATCTCATTTTATCCGCGAACATCTGCTTTCATACGGTTTAACTCGCAAACATGCTTTCATCTGCAAACATCTGATTTTATCCGCAAACATCTGCTTTTATCGGCAAACATCTGCTTTTATCCGCAAACATCTGATTTTATACGCAAACATCTGCTTTTATCCGAAAACATCTGATTTTATCCGCAAACATCTGATTTTATCCGCAAACATCTGATTTTAATCGCAAACATCTGATTTTATCCGCAGGCATCTGCATTTATCCGCAAATATCTGCTTTTATCCGCGAACATCTGTAAACATCTGCTTTTAATTGCAAATATCTGCTTTCATCCGCGTTCGGTTTGTCTGCATTTCCTTTGTCCATTTTGGTCCTGTTTCGTACGCAAACGTCTGGTTTCATTCGCGCTTTTTGTTTTCCTTTTTGTCGTGTATACTTTTGTTTAGTTTAACTGCTTTTTCAAATTTTACTGAGCTTTAACTAACTGGCACACAACTTTATAACTCTAAAAGGAATTATTTGAATAAAAACAACCTGTAAAGGAAATAAGTTTATTGAACTTCAATATTATTTGGTAAAATACAAATAAGGTCTTTGTTAAAGGACATAAATAGATATTTTTTAATCATTAAGCTTACATTTAAAATAATTGTTAGAAAACATATATGTTTAATTTCAAATACATTTGGAATTATAACATCTTCAATTTGTATGGAATTTGTTTGAAAAACACTTATTTAGGCGTAGAATTTTTCATCTAACTTTAAAAACTTTTTAATTTTGGCATAACCAATATTTTTAATATATATGTAAGAATTAATAGACATATTATTTCTGTGGTACTCTTCACTAGTATAGTATACCTGATTTTTAAATTTAAATCTGGTGAATATAATTAAATTATTTTCCCCTTGGGAAAATGTCGTGTTGAATAAAAGCAGATATTTGCGGATAAATGCAGATGTTTGCGGATAAAATTAGATGTTTGCGATTAAAATCAGATGTTTGGGGATAAAATCAGATGTTTGCGGATAAAAGCAGATGTTTGCGGATAAAAGCACATGTTTGCGGATAAAAGCAGATGTTTGCGTATAAAATTAGATGTTTGCGGATAAAAGCAGATGTTTGCCGATAAAAGCAGATGTTTACGGATAAAATCAGATGTTTGCGGATAAAAGCATATGTTTGCGGATAAAATCAGATGTTTGCGGATAAAAGCAGATGTTTGCAGATTAAAATAGATGTTTGCGGATAAAAGCAGATGTTTGGAGATTAAAACAGATGTTTGGATATTAAAACAGATGTTTGCGGATATAAGCAGATATTTCCGGATAGAATCAGATGTTTGCGGATTAAAACAGATGTTTGCGGATTAAAGTAGGCGTTCGCGGATAAATGCAGATGTTTGCGGATAAAAGCAGAAGTTTGCGGATTAAAGCAGACGTTCACAGATAAAAGCAGATCTTCGCGGATAAAAGCAGATGCAGGTGAAATCGGATGAATCAGACTTTTTCGGACTAAATTAGATGTTTGCGGATTAAAACATATGTTTGTGGATTAAAGCAGATGTTCAAAGATAAAAGCAGATCTTTTCGGATATAAGCAGATGTTTGCAGGTTAAATTGGATGAAGCAGACTTTTGCGGAATAAAGTAGATGTTTGCGGATGAAATCAGATGTTTGTGGATTAAAATAGATGTTCGCGGATGAAAGTAGATCTTCACGTATAAAAGCAGATGTTTGCATGTGGAATCGGATAAAGCAGACGTTTGCGGATTAAAGTAGATGTTTGCGGATAAAATCCGATAAAACCGGGTGAATGCAGATATAAACCCAAATAAAGGTATTTGCGGATGAAACCAGATAAAAGCAGACATAGAACTTAATAGATATGTCGGATGAAAACAGATATAAATGGTCATAAAACTAGCTTGTTTTTTTATCCGCAATCATCCGATATTACCCGTCTTTTTCAGCAGGGTAATAATTTAATTTTTAATTTTACCTACTTAAAAAAATGAGCCTTCTGCCTGGGCTTCTGCGTTCTGCCTAGTGGCTTCGCGGCGACCTAGGCCATGGCCTAGGTTGGTCTATTGGTAAATCCAGCACTGACTATACCATTTGTTTATATTAGGTTTTGAAAATCATAGATTCCAAGTGGTGAGCATTTTTTTCGATATTTGATGTAGTGCTGTTTTAATTCGTCAATGGTTCGGTGATGGTGTTTAAAGACATCTGCTTTCAGGTAGCCCCCAAGGAAAAAGTCGCATTGGCCAATAAACTGCAGGAATATCGTCTCAAATGACTGCTCAAGTGATGAAAACCTTAAAAAATCAGCTTGGAATGTGTATAAAAAAAGCATAGTAAACATTTCTATCTAATAAAAAAAATATAAATAACATTTAGAATGGCGTTTTTATTAAAATGTGGGAAATTATTTTGACGGATCTTGTATAATTGTAGAACATATAACATATCCACCCTCTTTTGTCATTTACACAAAGTAAAACATAATGCATAATTTATGTTTTTTATTGAAAATGTTATGCATTCATAATAATATAATGTAATATGCAAAAAACAATCAATGAAGTTAGACTATTGTCTAATATTGCAGATTTGTAAATATTTATCTAGTGCTATACTAGTTATTTTATAAACTGTATTAAAATTTCTAGGTTTTAGATATTGTGCCAAAAAATCTGTGATGCAATCCTAATAATAAAAATATTTAAATTAGTAAATTTGTAAATTGCAAGATTAAAGTTGTTAAAACAGAAAACTTAATAATTATTTAATATAGGTAAATCTTTTATAAACCATACCATTACATTTAATTATATTTTGTTATTTGCCTTCTAATAATATACAACCAAATAACGCTTGTTACGTGTTCTACGAATGTTTTGAATACTCATGAAAATTTATTGATTGTTAATATAAAATATACTTAAATAAATAAAAAATTTCTATTTAATCTTCCTCCAGTCCAGCTGTATCTGACGGCAGAGATAATGTTACTGGTTCCCTAACTAGAGATAGCAATTTATCTAATTTCATGCACTGCAGAGTCCATTGATCTAAATGCTGTTGTTTTTTGGGAGCTTTGCAGGGAATTCGGAGATTTGGTGAAAGTTTTAGGGTGGTAACGCAACCCCTACAATAAAAAAAGTATTTTTATAACCGAATAAATTGATATTAAGTTCAATGAAGCAGTTTTTTACATCTTAAGATTGACAACTAAAAATATAAACTTACTTGTCATCACCCACAATAATGATCGGTAACTTTGGATTAAACGCCAACCTAGTAAGTTTATTTCTTCTTTTTGAAACCACAGCTTGTACACATATAGGTTTGTACTTGTTTATGTTTAAATCAAAAACATAAACTTTTCCTTCGGTTGTAACTGCGGCGAAAACAGTTGAAGAATAAGGAGCCCATTTAACGTCACCTACCCTGTCTCCTAGATCGAATGAAAAAAGAGGTTCCCTAAAATTGAATTTCAGAAAAAAATTGTTAACAATATTTGTGGAGTTTTCAAGAGTGATAATATACACTTTATTTAATAAATTATAATTGTGCGTTTCATATTCATTTTATTGCAACTGTCTTAATAATTATTTATCCTAATAAATAATCAATACCAAATAAACAAAATGTCCTACAATTGGTGGGCCAATTGATTTTAGTTAATGCTAATTTTATTAAAAATATATATTCCAAACTCAAGGCTCTGTATAGAATGCTGCAGATGGGAGGTCAGAAGCAGTGGCGGACCATACAGCAAGAGTGAGTGGTGCGGGGGTACGGCCTCTGGGGGGCGAATGGCCGCCGTGCTTTTGCGGCACTATAGTTTTTTAATTTCACTAAAATAACTTTTTAATATCTGGCAAATAGACAGGGCCGGATAATCATTTTTTAGTGGCCCTAAGCAAAAGTTGGAGACCTAACCCAGGTAGCAAACTGAGGTCATATTGTCTTCATTATCAAGTCACCTATTATTCACGTTATATTCACGTTAAGTTTTTGACTAATTTGTCACGCCTTTTTTGACGTCGATGATACCTAACAATAACGTCAAAATTTAACCAATACCTTTTTACGTATATTTTAAAACCAAACTAAAAAGAACAAATTGTTAAAAAAGTTTACTTTTCCTACTAGCATATTAGAGATGGTAGTTATGTTTTAATATTTTTAAACTTAGATACTTTACTGGTTTGCCGCCACAATTGGTTGTCCTGTTTAGTAATCGCTCAAGCAGTATTGCCGTTTGCGTGTATTTTACTCAAAAGTCGGATATTTTCATCTTGTTTGCGACTAAAATATTAAACAGGTAAGGTGGGTATTTCGCAAATTTCAATAAAAATACTAAATAAAGAAATTTTCAGTAAATAATATATACCTAACTTTTTACTAAATATACATAATAATTGTACTCTATCATGCATGTTATAATTCTTTTTGATAACCAAATTCAAAATTTTATTTAGAATAGGGCGAATGCGCTATAAAATTTATAAGGATAACTATTTTTTTACTTTTGCAGTAAAATCGGGTATTTTGTAATTTATCTGGCAACACTGCGCTCGTCCTGTGTGTGAGTTGTGAGTTTTTTGCGCCATTTTAGGTTTAAAAAATAAATAATAATTAATGCATAGTAAAAGAATGTTTGCTAGTTATATACAAACTTAAGTAAGCAATTAAAATAACGACTGTTTTAATATGTAAACGAAATTAAGTTGTATAAAAAGAAATTTATGCAGAATGCTTTTAGGTTATGGTTTTGCACGTTTTTACTTTTCAGCAATTTAATTTTGTAATTAGGTATTACTAAAATTCTAGAACTAGAATTTAAGGAAGAATTGGGTGGTGGCATATAAATTGTGCACCACACTTGGCTGACTCCTAGGAAACAAGAGGTTTTTTGGCCACCATTTAAATCTACAAATCAACAATCAACCCCTGCCCCCAGCCCCTATATTTTTTTTTAATTAAATTAAAATAGGTAAACGATAAGTTGAAATAATTTTTAAACTTTAAATTAATTTTAATTTTTTTTATAACCAAAGAATTATTGTTTAAATAATTTGTTTAGGTTGTTTAAACTTAATTAAGTGTTACTTTTTTGGAATTCTATGTTTGAATTTTTATAACATAAGAAAAAGTTTTAATTTTAAACAGTAATTGTAATTTTTTTTTTAATTTTATAATTTATGTTATAAGTAAACAAAAAATATGTTTTTTTATAAATAATTTCGACGTCGTAAAATTACGTCTATCGGCGTCCTAAAATGACTGTGTAATTTTTGATAAGAATGACGTAAATTTTGACAGAAATATGACGTTTTATTCACGTCACTCTGCTACCTGGGAACTAATCTTTTATTTATTTATAAAAAAGTGTATTATACTAATTTTTTTAAAATAAATACTACTAAAAAATTGCAAGGCCTTTGTGAATTGGGGGCGATAAAAATGAAAAAACTTCTGCAATTTTGAGAATTCTAAAAAATGATAAAGGAAATTTTATCTAAGATGTAAAAATTTGTTATCCTCTCGAATAAAGAACTTTTAAAATCTCATTCAGCTTTACAAAGAAGGAGTTTCCCATTGAAATAGTCAACTTGGTTTTAGTTCTAAACCACGGAATTTAAAAAATTGGCGGAATTGTTAATTATAAAATATTTTGCAATTGGTTAATGCTATACAAGTATTATAAGTGCATTATTATTTTTTTAACTATTCAACTTACTACTGCAAACTTGGAATGATCGTTTTCTGAACTAAAAAATACTAAAAAATTATTTGCGAACAACAATGGGTGAAGAACGATTAAACAGTCTTTGTACTTTGTCTATAAAAGCAGAAAAAGCCTCTCTAGAGATTAAATAAAGATATAAAAATAAGTTTCGCTGATGCTAAGGCGCAAGGTAATTGCTTAATAATGTAAAAGAAATCATTTTTTTTATTTATGTTGCTTATTTTTAAATTTTATTGCCAAATATTGCAGATGGGCCTACATTTCAGTTCCGCCACTAGTCAGAAGCCAACACCAAGTGACTAGATCAGGCAATGACTTTCCATGCTTTGAAAACTACTGGCTACGAGAAATACTGGAACTGTCATATAGGAGACATTCTTTTACATATCGTACGGATTACAGAAAACATATTTTTTCAAATTTTTAAAATGACTTAATTTTTTTTTACAGCATCTTTTCATAAATTTAGCCGACCCCTATATCGGAATTTTTGCAGAAAATTTATTTTTCCAAAGATATATTGATTTAAACTTTTGATAAAATTTGAAAAAATGCTGAATTCTTTTGTACTTAAAATTCATTATCTCCGGTTCTACTGATCGGATCGATTTAATTTTTTTTTTATTTTAAACCATATTACATAGTCTTTTTCGATAAATATTTAAAAAGTTTGTGTTTTGTTTATTATATGAAAAAAAAATTTTTTTTTTGTATAAACAGATTTTTTGTGTTTGCCCCCTCTATGAAAAAAAATTAAAAAAATACTGTTCTATGCACTATTTATTACTCTACAAAATAAATTTTTCAGAAAAATGGAGACTTTTTTGGATCGGAAGATATTAAATATTTTCGAGCGCGTGACCGGTACAAGCCGTAAGGGGGCATCCATTAATTACGTGAGGCGTTTAGGGGAGGGAGGGGGTCAAGCCAAATCTCATCAATTCTCACGTAAGGGAGAGGGGGGGTCTCGGCAAATATCACGTAATTTTTAACAAAGTATGTTTTTTTAATAAATCCAACAGAATCAAGCAGTTTAACGTATAAACATTAAAAATAAGCATTTTTTAAAATCTCACGTGAGATTAGGGGAAGGGGGTTGAGCCAAATCTCACGACATCTCAGCAAGGGGGGAGGGGGTCAAAAAATCGCTAAAATTGACTCACGTAATTAATGGACACCCCCTAATCAGACATCTTCGAAACGCTAACACATTTAGGATTAGTGATGCCGCCGATACGAGAGATTCTCGCCTCTCGTCTCGTCTCGTGTCGTCTCGACGAGACGAGAGGGAGATTTTCTCTCAAAAAAAGGCTCGAGACGAGACGAGAGAAAGCCCTCTCTCGCTCGAGAATTTCTCGTTTCTCTCGATCTCTCTCGTTCTCTCGATTATTCCGGTAATAAGTAAACAATTTTTTTACATAAAAATTTTAATTTTGCGATATTTATTTGGACCAATGAGATTATTATTCGCATTTCATAATAAACAAAATTTGTTCCTGTATAACGTTTAATTATTTTATAACACAACTTAAGGTTAACCAAGAAAAAAATTACTTATAAAATAAAATTAATTTTTAAAATTTACCCTGTATAAGCACATTTATGGCACTCCTTATACTATTAAACAACCCGTGCTTAATAAGCATTGCTTATTCAATGAACTTATCAACAACATGTGGTTTTTGAGGGGCTGATTACAAATTTGATATCCATTTCTTCAAAAAATAAAATGGCTGATCCAATATGACGAAAATTTGTCGTTCGGCTTTAATGGTTTGGGTAAAATTTAGTATTTAGATATTTATGGGGTCCCTGATTAAGAATTTGATATCCATTCAAACAACAAAATTGCGGATTCAAAATGACGGACATGCGCAGTAGGTACAAGATGGTTGGATCTATGTGGAGTAGTTACATCATATAGACGCAGTAGTTCTCAGATGGATGGATGATTTGATCCATCCATCTGAAAACTACTGCGCCTATAATAATAATAATATAATAAGTTTATTAGTTCAAAAAAATTGTATATACAATGTAGAACACGTCACAAAAAATACATTAATAACAATTCAGATACCTAAATGCAAGAAACTAAATAAATTACAATAAAAAGTAGGCCACGTACACACCTATGCTATACATCTTTATTACATAAAAAATTCGTCAACACTATAATCACACTTATTTACAAGATATGCCTTTAGGGCAGGCTTCATTTTTTTTAGATTAAGGGATTTTAAATTTTCCGGTAATTTATTAAATATTTTTAATGCAAAATTTTGTATACCCTTGTAGATAGTGTGAATTTTAGTTTGTTGAGTTAACACTAAGCTTTTATATCTTGTATGGTGGCTATGCTTTCGATCATTTTCTGCAAACAGTGCAAAATGCTTTTTATAAAATAAGATAACTTCAAAAATATAAATATCTGGTAAAGTTAACAATTTATTATTAATAAATGTAGACCTACACCATATACTACACTGAGAAAAAGAATGGGACAAATAAACTGTGTAGCTAATCCTTTTATTAATAGTGAATATATTGTTTATTACCTCTAAATAAATAGTCGAAATAATAACGATAAATGGACGCCTTTCTGCAGAAAGGAACCAACCCACAAAACCAAAAAAATCGAGATATTTAGTCTATGAACTAATTAAGTATGTATAATTTATCTGCAAAATAGGTCATAGCCAAAATGCAAGTGTAGTGAAATGTA